CATTCGTCCTACGACATGATTGGGTACCAGAGGAACCATAAAACATGCGACTCACCGTTCGCAGATATACTCTTCTTCCGACAGTCAAACACCAGGTAGGAGGCTGCCTTGTAGGAGAAGACGGACGTCGTGAAGAAAGCCATCAAGGATGTCCACCTGTAACAAAAAAAGAAGAATTATGGTTAATTTTGAAAATAATCAATTCTTATTGTAATGAAATTATATATAAAGTTGGATTTTAGAAAATATTAGCAATTAAAAAGAAATCTCAATTATCAAGTATTGAAATTGTAAATTATTCTATTTTAATAAAAAGCAATTAAGTGACGTACCAAGACGGAAGTCGTGAAGAAAGCCATCACCAGGATATCCAGGAACTCGGCAAAAACAAAAAATTCATCTGTAACAAAACAAAAAAGAATTACGGTTAATTTTGCAAATTATCAATTTTTATTCTAATAAAATTATATATGAATTTGGATTTTACAGCAATTAAAAAGGACTCTCAATTATTAAACGTTGAAATTGTAAATTATTCTATTTTAATTAAAATTAATTAAAGTAATAAGATACTTACACTCTTTCCTTATGGAGCAACGCCCAAGACTCCTCTTCAGTGATGTATTGACTCTACTTCCGCGATGGAAAAAGAACAGAGCCGCGATGCTCTAGAAAATATTTTATAATTCGCAGCAAACACTGACTCTACTTTCGCGTGATTCCTAATTCTACAAACGCAACTCTATTCAGGGCCAGTTCACCCTTGAAAAAATCAAAACATTAGAATTGTTCGTATAAACACTGACTCTACCGACCGCCTTGCGCGCGGCCACAACAGTTCCTGGAAGAAAAGATTAGTGGGTTGGGGATGGGTGGAGATATGTATACAAAAACAACATTCTTATTGTGCCTTCGTTACGGAAATACTGTTATTAATGACCTGTAAATGAACATATCTATGTTTGTGAAATACTGATAAAGTTAAATGTTGATTCTAGATTATATCGTAATATTGAAATGTTTTAAATAATTGTAGATAATTATTTCAATGAATATTACAGGAATAAAGATCAATTGCTACTAAATATAATAGACTATTTTATTAAAGTAGAAGATTCTCGTTGTTAAAATTGTAAGTATACTACAAATTGTTGGAAACTCTATTATGTTGTGATTTACAAATTATCTAAATTCTTGTCAATAAACAAAGTCCAATAATTAATCAGCATGTGATTTAATAACGCGTTTCCTATTTTAATTAAAACTTGCACCAAAAGTTATACATTATAATATAATTACTACGATTTAACAAAAACAAATTGTTTAAAATAATGAAAATATAATCAAATAATTGCAGAAGAGAAGCAATCATTTGCAGTGGAATACAAATTGTTTCAATTTTGTTGTAATTTAAAACACGTATCAAATTACTGGTTGAAGTTATTTAATAAAATGAAAAATTAGTTGTTCTTTTTCCGTTAATTAATAAAAGAAAAATAATTGACGTTGGTACCAGTTAATTATCAAAAATTCTTACCATTAACAACGATTCCATAAAAAAAAAGTAATAATAAATGTTAATAATTGATTACAATAAATTAAAATGTTACCAATTCCTTACGAAATATTAAACCAATGTTAAGTGTCATGGCATCGTGTGGCATAGCGTTCTTTCAATAGCAACAAAATATCTGTAACAAATAGGAAATACAAATTTGTATAAATAAAATTTAACCAATGGCAATTAAAGTTGATTAACAAACGATCGAGCTCTATAATGTATGTAAAATATTAAAATAGGTAAAGTACGCATACCTAAGTAAGTATGTAATATGTATACGGAAGGACGCTCTGAAATACGTCTTATCACCTCGGCGATCGCGAAAGGAATGACGCCACCGTCCCCCAATGGCGGACGTTCGAGAGAGCTCGGCTTGGACCCGAGTACATAACCGAAGAGATCTCGTAACAATACGACTGTCCACGAAGTACGTTGTTGAATTCTTGCCTGAAAATCAAAACATTAACGATGTTCAAGAAATTATCGATATAAAAGGGAAATAATTCAGATAATACTGTTCCAATCTGAGGTTCAATTCACGACAAGGGTACAAAATTTCATCTTACGCATTTCTGAAGACAATGTGGAATTGACGGTAGACATCATGCATCTCGATTTCTCTCCAAGTTAACCTTCTGTTTTTCGTATTTTTTATACCACGAAAACAATTTAATATAATGTTTTAATGAAATTTATTCTCAATTTCCACAAACGCGTGCACTGCGGACGAAGTTACGAACGGGAAGTGACGTAACGAGGCAGACCTGCGCACATGACTAATACTGACGACTCTGATTGGTCGAATGGTGGTATGTAACTGCCATTGGAAATTCAAAACTTTTAAATTAATTCAATACTCAAATAAACGTTTAAATAATAAATACAAAAGAGAAAAGTAACTAATGAATAAAAAAAAGAATATTAATTTAATATGTAAAATTACTTTCAGATACGGCAAGATGCAACATAAAAGTGGGAAGGAACGACTACGTGATCCAGTAAATGATCACTTACTAAAACGTTACCAATTCTTTACGAAATTATTTTTCAAACCAATAAAGTGTTATGGCGACGTATTACGTAGCAATTTTCAGTGTCAACAAAATATCTGTAACAAATAAGAAATATAAATTTATGTAAATAAAATTTAAACAATAAAATTATGATTAACAAACGATCGTACTCTATAATTTATGCAAAATATTTTATATAGTGCTCTTCGTGTCATTCATCCTTTTCCTTTGGCATTTTTTCGTAAATGCATTAATAATGCATTTCCCGGTTGGGAACTGTATTATATTTATCGTTTCAATAGCGCTGCTGTCTTATTCCATGACAATGGGAGCGAAGTTTTGCATTACATGATGAATCTATTTTATATTTTGTCTGTGGTATGGATTGTTTGTATTTTCGTCTGGCATAGAAACTAGAGACAAGTGCCGTGTTCAAACTTCGAATAATAAACAAAAACGAATAAATTACAAAAATGAGTAATTCAACTATTTCTGATCAGTCACTCATGGACAAATCCATGCGGAGTGTTTTCGGTAAGAAAATTGATTTTAAATTATTTTTTATTACTAATTATGCTGCATAACCTTTAAACACATGTAATGTTTCATAATAGTCGGGAATATCCCGTACGAAGCTACAGAAGAGAATTTAAAGGATATTTTTAGCGAAGTTGGACCGGTACTTTCATTCAAGTAAGTTTATTGTATATTTAAGTTAATGCATTCAATTTTAGTTAACCTCTATAAACATGAATTATAACCTTACCTGATACAGTACTTTTAAAAGCAAGTTTTGAATTATTTTAAACAGATTAGTATTTGACCGGGAAACAGGCAAACCAAAAGGATATGGCTTCTGTGAATACAAAGATCAAGAAACAGCTCTTAGTGCTATGAGAAATTTGAATGGTTATGAGATTGGTGGAAGAACATTAAGGGTTGATAATGCTTGTACAGAGAAGAGCCGGATGGAAATGCAAAGTCTTTTGCAAGGACAAAATACAGAGAATCCATATGGGGAAGCAGTGCAGGCAGATAAAGCTCCTGAAGCTATAAGTAAAGCTGTAGCTTCTTTGCCACCAGAACAAATGTTTGAACTCATGAAACAAATGAAGCTCTGTGTACAAAATAATCCTAATGAGGCACGGCAAATGCTACTTCAGAATCCTCAATTGGCATATGCTCTGCTACAAGCTCAGGTAGTGATGAGAATAGTGGATCCTCACACAGCAGTTAATATGTTACATAAAGCAAATCCAATCCCAGGTGTATTAACACCTTCTGATAAACCAATTGTTCATCCAATTGTGCCAAGGATTGAAGAACCATGGGCTCCTTCACGTCCAGCTCCAGTTACAAATACTCCAGCACCAATATTTGCTGGTAGGAGTATCAAAGATATTAAAAGATATGGTAAAAGCTGTGTAATTCGGATAAATATTAATATCAATTTGTCATCAATAAATGTTTTTAACTATATCATTCCTTAAGTGTCTTTGAGTATATTAACCCAAGTTTTAAACCTGTTCTTTTTTTTGTAAAAGTATTTAACACATTTGCTGTTGAGCACGCGATATCGCAGGCTCGATTATCATTGATTCTAGAGTGAACGTGTTAATGTTTCTTTAACCAAATGGTGTAATTTTATAACAGGGCAGGATGTTGATCTCCGTACATTGGATAGACAAATGGATCCACGTTTAGCTAGAATGGATCAAGATTTAAGAGGCCCTCAGCAAGTAACACCAACACCTGTTAGCGTACCATCAGCCGTGGTCGCAAGTACTGATCCTAGAGGACTCAGTACATTTAATGTTACAGACAAGTTAGTATTCTGTTTCATAAAAATTTGGAACTAAAAATAATTAAAAGATTTACTCTTTTTTACAGTGCACTTCCTGTTGAAGGAGTTGAGAGGTTCCATAAATACTATAGATAATATAAAACTGTAACTTTCAGATATTTCTAAAAAATACTTAATTTTTTTCAGCTTTTGTCGTGACCCAAGAACAGATAGATTTGGACGAGATCCAAGGGATCCCAGGGATCCAAGAATGCCCATTGATCCTAGAATTACCAAAGCTACTCGTAAGTTTTTTTTTTCAAAATGAAATTCATTTTCTTTCTTATGACAAAATGTAAAGTTAAATACTTTTAGCACCAGTGCCAGTTGCACCACCAGTGGTACCAAGACCTGTTGCTGCACCAACTGCTCCGCCATCAAGTGTCGTTACACCTAGCGTACCAGCTCCCGCTACTGCATTATCAACATCGGCAACATCCGCTACCTCAAGACTCATGGCAGGCATGTCCCCTGCCGGAAATATACCTAGTGGAGCATCTGATCAAGAGAAGGTAAAAATTATATTTAGATTATTATTAATTATATTTAATTATCAGTCAAGTTTTTATAAAAATATATCAAATAGTATACGAGTACATTTAATAATACAAGTATAAAAGTAACTAATAATTTGTTCTATTACAGGCGGCTTTGATAATGCAAGTGTTGCAATTATCAGATGAACAAATCGCTATGTTGCCACCCGAACAAAGGCAGAGTATTTTAGTGCTTAAGGAACAGATTGCTAAAAGTACACAACGTTAATATGTAATATCTTTTCGTCTTTTTTTATATAAAAGTTTAACGAACTGTGAAACTATATTATACTGATATGGTAAATAAAATTCATCAAATAATAATTTCTTGTATCAGTAATGATAACTTAAAAACCTTTTAGCATTATAAATACAAAAAAAAATACTTGAAAAATAAAAACTGTAATCTACCTTTTAAAATGAAAGGTTAACTTATCTTACGTAAAAATAAATATATGCTAAGGTTTGACTAAAATAAAATTGGTTAGTTTTCTTCATTTTCTTGTGACGTGAGCTGAAATAAACCATTTTCAATGAGTGTATTATATAAAAGTTCCTCTTGTTCTTGGTTGTCATATAATTCAATATGCATGAATTCTTCACCAATTTTCTGAAATAATCATTTTAGTATTCAAAATCTATTAAGGAATGTGTACGTTATGAAAAATCGTGGTTAGGTTCATAATTACTTTAACTGCGGCTATAACATTTCTGTTGTACATTTTCTCAAATTGAGCTAGAAAATCGTCGATATCCACTGCAGGATCAACTTCTATGTTCCACAATTTACATTTGACGGCCATTATTGGTACATCTATCCATTCTTTCTTCAAAGTAAATAATTCGCACCTTTTATACGAAGAAAAAAATTATTTATTAATTGTAATAATTTTAAGTTTCCACTTAGAATTAAAAAAGAAGATGCAACATGACGTACTGTTCAGAGTTTACTGTCGTATATTCGCAGTTGCCATAGTCAATATAAATTAGTTTAATATCAGTTTCTGTATCTGAATCTTTATTAGGTTCAGATTCTACTATAAGGCTTCTGTACCACATATCATCATTATATTTCGCAACACATGGAGTATCTGTAAAAAGGAGTTTAACCGTATACACCACTGTAAAACTAAAGTTTTCAAAATTTCTGTCAATTATAAACGATAGTACTTACTAGGTGCAAAACTTGTAATCGGTTGTTGCTTGCACGCGTTCTCTTGCAAATCTTTCATTAAAAGTTCATATTGTTTATAATAGTTATTTAAAACCTGAAATAAAAGCAACACCCATAAGGAATATTTTATATAAAATTAAATAAAAATATTGCATTTGGTATTATTTTTATTACATACCTCCGAGTGAGCATTTTCTTGTAAATGCGCGTAAAACTCAGTAGTGCTAATACTGAAAGACAATTCTATTTCTATGAAATCTATATCTTCTGGTATATCAATTGGCTTGTAATTCATTGAAAGATTCTCTTCAGAAGCAACTTGTGGCGTCGAGCTGATTGTTTCTTTCTTTAGTTTACTCCAAGATAAATTTTCAATGTCAGTTGTACTAGGACTGTCATTTTTATCTACCATAATCGTGTTTGGCAACATGGAATTTCCGCTAATAATTGTTTCTTTGAATAAATCGCTATCCAAAGAAAATGAATTTGAATTCTCAATGATAATAGCATCTGGAGAGTCTGATCGGCCGAGACTTTGGTCACACGTACTAATCTCCAAATTTGGTTTCAGATCCATCTCCCATTCGTTTATAAGAAAAGTTAGTAAATCGGTTTCTTTTTTCATCCGTTTGTTTGGTAATACAATTAAAGAAATCTAGAAAAATATCTATGTATATAATACGGTATATTTTAAATATAAGACATATTTCTGTATGACCATAATTCGAAAAAAAATTATTTTATCTACTTTTATAAATAATTAATAAGTTCTCGATTAGTATAAGATTACTTACAACAAGATGTGTTTTAGTTCTATCGAGCACAGTTACTTTACATTCGGTGTCAATTATAACACTATGTATTCTATCTAACTCATCTGTCAACCATTTTCCACTTGGTCGTGCCTATTAAAAAAGAATGGGTTTAAACATATTTAAATGTTTATTGAACAATGCATTAAACTTGTTACAAAGTATTTACCGGATTCAGACCATAGATTGCACATTTCGTACACTGGATTGGAATATCTTCTAAAATAACTCTTTTCTTCACTGTTCCAATTTCACATTCTTCCACGTTTCCGTAATCAACAAACATTACCTGTAATGAATATGTATTTCATGTTAAATAGTATTGTATAAAAATAGGTCTTTATAATAAAAAAGTAAATAAATTTTTACCTGTACTATATCATTATCAAGAACTTTTACTACTTTTCCTCGATACCATTTTTTATTTGAATGGTATTGAGCAATGCATAAGTCTCCTACAACCCATACTGTATCACGTGGTTCAAATAGACAATTAGCATATAGTTTCTCCAGTTTCCTTTCAATACGCTGCAACATTTCTGCATCTAAAAAGTATATTGCATTTAATAATATTCATTATAATGTGCTACATCATTTATGTACTTCGAAATTATAGAGTACATACTTTTCCCTTTAGAATGTAAATACAAAAAGCCTTCACTATCTAAGTATGTTGGCAAGGCAATAAATGAATCTTCGAATATTGGTTCTGCTGGCAACCAGTCTGTCAATTTTGAAAGCGATGGAATTTTATCATATAGTTCTATGTTAGAATCACTACTGTCTGAATCAGTGTCTGAATTATTTAATATTTTTGACATAATTCTATTCATGTTTATTCCTACAGAGTCGTCGAAATTGTTACCAATTTCAAACCATTTCACGTTTGGTTCGCATTTTGCCAGTCTTTCTAATTTTTTCTTCAACATCCGCTTCAATTCGATAGCCAAAATTTTGTCTCTTTTCTTTGCATACCTAATAAATAAAAGTAAATTTCAAAATAAATAAGAACAATTGATTTCAAATGAACAAATGATTTGAAGAAAATTTTATAATGTTACATACTCTTTTATTGGCAAGGCTACTCCGTTTTCAACTAGCATTCTATTAATGGAATTAATTTCATATCTTGTCGGTGCTAATGGTCCATCCATTTTTACTTGTTTAATCCAAAGTTCAACTGGTATCGCAGAATCTTCAACATCTTCGTCCTCCTATGCAATAATAAAAAATGTTTTAAATAGAAATAGTTTACAAATAGTAGTATCATTTTTGATGATATTGTACGTGATATGCTTACCACTTTTGATATATAGAATTTGCAATTGTGATTGTTATTTACAATCTCTTGCAACTTTTCACTAGATAATGATGGCCAGAATGACGAGCCTCCACACGGTAATATGCCACTTAGTTTTACCTTGAAAACGTGTGTTGGTGTTTCGAAGAATATTGGATATAATGATTGCAAATCGCCTGTCGATACAGTTTCTTCGGTTCCTATATCGTACAAGAATACGACTACTTTATCCGCAGATTTAACGTCGATGACTCTACCACGATAATACGTTTCATTTTTCGACAAGTAAACTGCACAAACTGCATTTTTGGTCCAAACTTCGCGTTTTGCGGACCGATATTTTCTATAAAATTCTTGCATTGTCGACATCATTTTTTCTACGTCAACTTGATCCTGGGTGGTATTCGATACGTAGATACAATCAGGAGATTGCACTTGGTGTATCTGGACGCTTACTTTAAAAGGATCCTCAATTTCTTCAGTCCCTTTGTTCTTAGTAATTGTATTTGGTGTATTATTAGGTTTTTCTAGTATTTCTGCGGGAGCTTCTATGGATTTTTCCATGAGTCTCTCTGGTCTCTCTAGGGTCCTATTACCATCTTTTTTAAGTTTGTTTCTCTTCTTTTTATTATTGTTAAATTTGTTATATGGGCTATGTTATATAATAAGAAAGAAATACTTATTGCAAATATAATGGTGATTATATTAATTTAAATGTTCTAAAAAAGTTGTACCTGTAAATATGTAGCGCCAGATTTTTACCAGCTAATACATTACAAACATTACTTTTGTCATGTGTGTACATAACTACATTATATGTATCTTCAGATTTGTCAAGGGCTATAATTTTAAAATTTGTTATGTCCATTAAGTATCTCTTTAGAAAATTATTAGTATCTTCCCTCCATTCGTTTTTATCATCAGGCCGTGGTTTTGCGTGCTTCAATGAAATTTTTATTGCCTGGTGAATAGATAAAACATAATGATAAGTATTGAAATTTAATGGCAGGAAAAAATAGTGTTTCGCTTTGATATAAACTTACTTGAGTCTTACAACTCATATATTTCTTAGAAAGTGCTCTTACAGCATCGTAACTCAATATTGACGTGTATCCTAAGTCTACATAGAACACTTGTATAGTATTTTCAGTAACTTCTTTTATAATGCCTCTATGCCACATAGAATCTTCACCGCGTGCAGCGCATGGCAAATCTGTGTAAAAAGTTAAATGATTAATTTATTTGATTAATAATGTGGTAAGAATAAAGATTTGACGAAATTAATATGTCTCGTGAGATTATTATTGGAGATAGTATTAAATTCATGAAAAACATATTACCTTTATAAAGCGTAGGTATAAAATCATTGCAGGACAAAGTTTGCCCATAATTTTCGGTCATCTCACTGATCAATTTGCGGAAGTATGATCTATTTCCGTGCGCCTGTGCAATATAAATATAAATTTTTATAAATAGAATATAATAGCAGCTACCATATGATTTTTAATATTTTTGAACTTCAAGATGCAATAGACCTTTTTTATATAATTAATACATGTTACTTATATGAAGTATCATTAAAAAGAATATCAACTCACTTTTCTAACATATATACAGTGAGGAGATTCAACATACAGAACTTCGATCTCCGTAAATATTTCCATATCCAGTTGTTCTTTATAGTAAGTCCTCGTAGACTCAGGATTCGTTCTCTGTAAATGGAAAACAAATGGTCAAATGTTGGTACTCTCAAAATCGCAAGATAAATGGTCTACGATTACCATTAACTTGTCAGATGAAACACAAGTAGCGTATTTCATGTACGTTAACGAATCGTTTACGGATGTTAAATGCCAGTCTTTTGAAGAAATAACAGTCAGTTCAACATGATAGGTATCCCCAGTAATGGCACCGACGGACATTGAAACCATGGCATTTCTGAAATAAATAAAGATTCATTTTTATTTTAATGAAATGTAATTACAAGAGAAATCACAAATCACTGATGCTACTTACGAGTAAACCAATTTCTTGAAAGCTTCAATGGCGTCAGGGTGCCATTTACCATTATTGGGCACAATATTGTGTAAAGAACATCTGATTGCCATCATAGGTAGCATTGCAAATTGTGCTACAATATTTCGTATCTTTGACAATGGTACATTGTCTTCCTTCATTCCATAATCAATGAAGAAGACGCTATACTTTTCATCGTCGTTGGAGTCTTTCTTGTCTATGATACGTGCTCGGTGCCACGTTTTGTCCTCTGAACATTGCACGATGTACAATGCATCTGGGAAATAAATATAAAAAAAATATACATAACTATTATAAATAAAATAATAATTTAATACATACTTATAGTGATTTCTGTTGGTATAACTCCTGTAGTGTTAACTAACACTGACAGTTCTTTGTCCAAGTCTGCTATTCTATTCTGATTTTGTATCATTTGAATATAAAAACAAGAAGGATTCACGACATGCGTGACGCGAATCATCTCCGAAGAACCTTAAAATAGAAAGGAATAATCGATAAATCATATGATCATTGAAAACAAACTTTATTCTATATAGACTCAAATAATCTTGTTAACAGTGAATCAACGATCTACTCTTAGCATATAGCCGAGCCTTTTGTTCCATTTTTAAATTCCATTTTAATAGAAAAATCAGATTTTAAATACGTACCAACAGCAGGAAGTTTATCACATTTTTTAGGAGCCATTGGTATTGTTAGAGGAGCTGTTTTTTTTACCATAGATGATGGACGTTTAAGTACTGCAAAAAACCAAGATTTTTATTGTTAAAAACAAATTCTTACTCTTATGTAATAGAAAAACTAATATTACTTGAAATATTAAGGTCTTCAGTCAATGGTTCTAGTTCGTAGTCGTCGGGCAATGAATTTCTTCTTCGTAAAGCAAACGTCGATGTGGCTGGTATATCTAAGGTGTAGTGTTTCTCAATGGCATCAACAATACTCTTATCGAAATTAAACCTAGAAAGGATACATTCGTTTCAAGAAAACTTATTGTAAATTATAGAAATTGATTACTGCAAAAGACACAGTCATATCTGGTCAGACACATATGAACTTGAATTATTAAAAAATAATTTTTTAATTTAATATAAGACTTTGTAGTTTGGTATTTTGAATATCATGGCAATGGTATGTTTGATCTACTGCTCTAAAGCACCTTAATTTTGAAATACGAGTGGAAAACAAAAATTCAACATTCTCTTTCGTGGTTTAAAAAAGGGACATTTCGAAGCCGGTTTATAACACAACCGTAGGTGCACTCTACTTTAATTAATTACTCCTACACCTCGTTCTCTCTTTTTCGTTCTCTTCTCGTTTAGACATCCGTAAGCTGCTTACGAATATAAACGACAGGGGATTTGCTCAATTCTCTACCATCCACGGTAGCCAGGAAAATAAATCGTTCAATATGTACCGGAGATTTTGATTTATCAAAAGCTACACAGATTTCACTGTGTCGAAAAACACTGGACACCGATCCCTATGGATTCAAGTCAAACCCTTATCCGAATAGTCTATTTATGTAACGCAGACTTCATATTTTGATAAAGAATACCGTAATTTATTTTTAGGATAAATTTTTTAAAATATTGATCGTCAACACTTTTTTTGGAAACTTAAAATAAAGATTCTAATTATTTTCTAATTATGAGTGCTTGAAATAAATTCTGTTTATGATAAATATATATTTCTTTGATTGCATATATTAAAGAGGATAAAATTATGATAAGATTACTTACGTGATGTCTTGGTCATCTGGAATGGAATTTAACATCAAGTGACATGGTATAGAGACTAATTTTTCTAACTGTTGTATCACATCATGGATATCTATTTTATCAATATTTTCTGTTACTGAACCAGTTATCTGTAAGAGAAAAAATTGTACTTGAATTATTAAAAAAAAAAAAAAATCAAATGTTGTGAACTCTTGTAATCTATCGTTGATCCACAATTATTGTATTATGGTTTATGCAATACTTTATTAGATAATAATTGCACAATTAAATTTCTTTATCTTTCTTCTTTTACGATACGATAGGGAAAAATTATTCGAGAAAATGAATTGTCAAAACAATGACAATACCTCCTCGTCGGTGTGTCAGGTTCATTTCACTCGTTTTCGGTTCGTTCATAATGATTTCATTATGAAAATTTGTATCTCCACTGTCATATACACACGCTGTAGCACGCTAGGGAAAGAGATTTTAAATTCGGACCGTTTTATGACACGCCGCGAATTAGCACTGTCATCTAATTTTACTTAAATTACTTTCGGCAGTAGCGTTTTCGAACAGTTTCACGAGAAATCTCTCTGCACGTCAACCATTATATTTCAACGATTTATTTCAGGCAGATAAATTTTAAGGAAATTTGTGTTGTTAATCGATCCTCGTTCACTCCACTTGCAAATGCATTTTAAAAGAAAAGAAAAATTTTGCAACAAATGCAAATTTTAATCTTAAATACTTTCATTTATAAAATTAGCGTTCTTTGAATAATTACCTTCTAATCAATTTAAAATTAATTATGCAATTGAATATTCGCAATTATTACACTATTGAAAATTCTCTGAAAATAGATTTTCATATTGATTTTTAATCTTCATGAAATATTTTCTAATTTATCTAATGATTTATTGATGCATCATTAAAATACCTATGATTTGATTTCCACTTTGAACGAAACATAGAAAACATTAATCACATTTCATTTATAAAATTTCATTATTGAAGGTATTATCCGTTTCGAAATCATAGCGTTTTCTAATTCAAATTGCATAGAGATCAGAGTACAAAATCTCGTAACGATTTTAAGCATTCTCGTTTATTACGTGCAGCTCAAACACCGCATGAATAAAAGCGACAGAAGATCCCCACAGACCTAATAATTATAGCAATCAAGCTGACACTGTGGGGCTAATGAATCATGCTCTGTTTAAAACACACGGACGTAATTGAACGAACGAATGGAACGAGCAATTTAAACTTCACCTATGAGAAACATTGCAGTAATTCAATTGGGAGAATGATCTTTTTCGTAACAAATTGTCATTATTTTACTAATGAACTGGATAATGTATTAACTATCAGTGTATTACCATATTCAGTATTCGAGGTACTATTTACATTAAATACAATATGTTTCATTTCCAATACAAATAGTAAATATTGGAAATTAAAAATAATTAAAAATTAGTAATACTGAAATAAGTATTATTAGAAATTAGAATAGTCTACAACATACTAAGAATTTTTAATTTTTCAAAAAATATAATTGCAAAGCATCAATACTATTTTTTTTCTATAAATATTAATTAGAAATCAATAATAATACTGTGTTTCAGAAACTGATATCATTAAACTCTTATCACTAATTATTTTATCAGTTAATTATTCTTACCAGTAGAGCATACTGTAACTGATTCTCATAATCTCTCAGCTGTTCAGATATTTCCTCCAGATTATTACTCCTAGCATTTCGATGATCGTTTAAGTTATCAATGATCTTTTTCTCGACATTCTGGAGAATACCATGTAAATGAGCGAAATGTTGGGTAACAGCAGTCTCCACACTGTCGATATTGTGTGCCTCCTTTGGATAAATGGCGATTTTTCCTAGTTTCTGAAAATATAAAAATAAAAAATCGATTAGTATAATCAAAAGTGCTCATCAGATTCCTGGCAATAAATCAACGAATCATTATATAGTAATTTATTTAAATTTGTAGTCATTCATGGTCATGGCAGTCAATTTATTAATGGTATTAGTATTATTGAATGATACAAAAAATTCAATAAAGCGTTTTATATTTATGAAGTCCATCTTCATGTCAAAAAAGATGAAGAACCAGTGCCAAGGAGGTTCGAATGAAAATAGAGAAATCGCTCTACAACCTGTCCTGTGTGAGTTACATGCAACGTGTACTGCCTGTTGATGCAATATTCTGATTGATATTCGACCGGTCGTTCCCCGGTCGTGTTAAGAAATCGAGGCATCTTTAGTAATGCCAGTGAAACTGGCAGTTCCTTCTGAGGAACACTTGTATCATAGTTGTATTTGAACTGAGAATGCTGTGCTTTGGGTGCTTCTCACATCATGATTGTAATTTATGTAATTGGTGACCCTTTGAAAGTTTAGATTGCTTTACTTTGATTAGAATTGCAAGACTAAAGCTTGAGAATTCCAACAAATTTCAACAATTTGTTCAATAATATTTCGTTTCGATTTTCCATATTTTTCTTTCAACTTTCAACGAAGTACCTCTGACAATTGTTGACTTTTCTCCACCTTTCCATCTAACGAGCTGTTGATTTAAACCGATGTCAAGTTTAATAATTTTCAGAACAATTTTGTAGAAGATAACAAGGAATTCACACAGGTGAAAATACCTCATCTGTTCCATTTGAAATTAATTAGTTCTTTAGTAGTGAAAAATTAATACCAATATCAATTTTTAATTTGTTGATGCACCATACATACCCTGAAGTTATGGTTGATTTATGAACGACCAAGTATATTGACATTTTTCATTATCTTAACTTCAAGAATACTAGAAGACAAAGGTTAGATCAATAGATTAAGAGGCTTGAATCGAGTATTTGCCATTCATAGTGAAAAAGTTAAAAGTCAAGATGACAATGACTTTATAATTTTTTATAAATAAGATTATACATAGGAAAATCACAAATCAATATTGTAAATATCTTGGAAACTATAAAAATTTATAATAATAAAATTTCTATTACAATATTCTTTTAAAATTAATTATTATATTATATTTACAGCAGGCTCTCTAGAGCCAACCATATGAAATACAAAATTAAATTAAAACTGGGGCTCTCTCCATGGTCCGCCGTCCGAGGGGTAACGAAGCTAGATCTGGCCCACCCGAAAATACTAATTGCCCCTTATCAAAACTTATCTTAACAGAAATAAATATTTCAGATAAAATGCAATGTGAAATATAAATAAATGCAAAAATCCACTAACATTCTTATTACAAAAATTATGAACAAATATAATACTCTTGACACGTTAACTAAACTGATCGACCTAGACCATCCTAGAAATCCTACTTACATCACTGACCACCGTGGATCCAGAATATCAACAAAGCTACCGAAATCATCGTGTCATCGTTTCACCATGAACTAGAAGGTCGATGTCGGATCAACTTTCCACGAAGATGAAGGGAAGAGGACCTATCTATCTGTCGTGAAGGGAGAGCGGCAGAGATTGGAATGGCAGGGAGCTAAAGGCACAGAGGTGGGCAGAAGTTAACATCGAACCACCTAACAAACGTTCCTTTCCCCAGTCTTTCGCGTCCCGAGGACCGGTTACCATCGTCGTTCACGTGTTTCCACGTTTCTTGTCATCATTTTGTGCCAGGACCTGGGTTAGTGTCGAGGATGACGCTACCTGTCCAACCATTTGGAATCCTAGCTTGAGTCATCCAGGGTCAGCAAGAGCAGGACCATGTGGCTACTTCATCATCAATGTGTCCTGCGATACGTTCTGTTCTTATTCTTGCTCGTCGGTGAGTTATTTTGATGGTTTCTGAGTGTGTCTGTCAACGAGTCATCGTCTCTTCTAATATCAGTGATTCGGATAGCAAAATTTTCGTCTAATTGGGATGAGTTTTGGACATTTGATACACTTTTGTGGAGAAAGTTCATTTCTTCTTAACACAGGTGAGTTTGTTTGGAAGATGAAGAGATTGATGATTAATAAAAATCATTATATTTTGTATAGTTTCTGATGGATGTAGTTCTGTTGATGCGAACGATTACGTGATACATGCATTTTATTATGTAATCAAGAATCTCGGTCATTGATGACCAATATGGCGGAATATGCGTGTAGAAGATTCTACTTCCTCTTCAACACAGATTGCTTTTCTACTTGAATAACAAATAACAATTTTTGAATTAATATTTTAGAATCAAAATGAAATTGTATTAACTATTATTGAATTTTTATAATCTTTTTTTGTGGAGAACTTTATTGATCGATTGTGTTATAATTAGATTTACTTGAAATTTAACATCGATATTTAAACGTTGTTTCAATATTAATTGCAAAATCTGCTTGTATAATCCATGCTGATTAATTTACATCTGTCAACGTCAATAATTAATGAATCTCAGCAAAGTAATATCGAGTTGTGCAAATAGCTGAAATAATTAATATACAAATCAAGATTCTTACAAATGAGATAAAATAAAAATCAATATAATGTTAATTCTGAACATTTAAAAATTACTGAGTTGAATTTAAAACATATCTATTTTGCATAAAAATTCTTCCATTTCAAAAAGGTCACGAGCCCTCAATTTTAGATAATGGTAAATAACTTTCTCCTGTTGTCTATGAAATAATATCACAATTAATCGTCAGTTTACCGGTAGCCATGCACTTCGATGGAGAAAGTACAGTGTTAGGTGTCCATATTAGGACTTGTATACGTCCACTGTTTAATACCCGTGAGAATCTGTTACATATTGCTCGGGTCCTGGAAAATAGGCCTCTCTGTACTCTTGACTCGCTAAGGAAAAAGTAATCAGAATGCCCGGGCACAAAGACAATAGACTTGCATCACTAATATTTCGCGTTACTTTCCTTTCCTAAAGCGCAACTCTGGCATGCGTAATTTTAGCCTTTACAATCAATCATCCCGGATGAATACTCGCTCATTTGGTTTTCAAAACGTTTCCAGAATTCAAATTAGAAGTTTCAGAAGAAACTCTGGTAAAAATTCCAAATTAACTAAAAGGCAGAAAAAATTCTTTTTGTTAAAATATTATCTTTAAAATGTACAATTTTTACACATTCGATACCAGAGAAACAGTCGCATGGATTATTGTCCATATAGAATGGATAATACTACACACTTGGGGAAAGTGTTAATTACATAAATTACTTCAATATGTCTCATAAAAATTACCAAGAAATAAAAGGAGGTAAAGCATGAAAAATTGAAAGGACGAGTATAATTGATCGATAAGTTTCGTTCGAGTGCACATTTCCGTCCATCTGAAACATCTTTAACCGGACGAAAGAGGGGAAACGTGGAGATAGGAGAGAGTGCTAGCTGCGATCTCGTTTACTCTGCTAAATCAGCCGCAGAGAATCCACTTTAACGTTTTCGCGGCAAAGCAGCGTTAATTATACTGCGTAAACAGTCAAAGGGAGTCCTCGAAGGAGGTGAAACGAGTGGAAGTCGCGGGTAGAGACCTTGTCAGAGCTAGAAAATTAAGTTCATCCTCGCCGGGAGTTGGAGCTCTCTCGAGGCCGACCTGGAAACGAGTCTTACGAGGGCCAACGATCGATATATATCCACCTTGCCGATCGTTCTCTGTCGACATTTAATTAGTGAGATCGATCGAACGATCCATGAACAAACACGGATTAATCGGTGAGTTCGGAATTTATTCCCGCCACTTAACGCGCGCAACCCTCTCCTCGATCCTCAACCCCTCATCGATCATCGACCGACTGGCGTTGTTCCGTCTGCCTTGATTTACCCGTATCAGAAAATGCTGTCTCGTTAATTCCACCTATGTAAATGAGAATTCCCTTCCTCTTGCTAATATCGTTTCACGAACGTAACGCTGTTATTAGCGACCAGTTCCGTACGAGATCTATCAGCAATTCCATTGGGTACACGGTTGACGATGATGTAACGGAAGTGTTTCTCAATGATTTACGAAGTGCAACGTCCTTATAGGGAAGATGCATCTGGTTGGACCTTGAATGAAATGCGATTAGGAAATTTCATGTGTCGCGATTCTCGGGCCATCAGTGTTAAACCCTGCATTGAACACGCGGGGTTGTGACGAAAAATGGTAACAACGAAGCATCGTCTGAATCTTCGTCGTAAAGAGAGCGAGGCTGAGAGAGTGATCCTTGAATGAAAATTATTTCTCGATCTAGACCGAGCAAATGGTTCGAAGTGGAACGCCTTTCGAATCGTCGATCGGCTTGGAACAGAGACGGTTAAAGGGGGGAGAAAAATGTCTCTCGTTTGTTCTTGGCCGTTTTGTGCGCGTGACTCTGAAAAACTCGATAAAGCGTAAGACGCGCGTCACGACGCTTTCGCAGAGCCGCCACTCAAGCGACTCTGCCCAATTTGCATTTCGAACGCGGCCCCAGAAACGGAAGATAAATACTTAGTGGTATCCGTTAAGTTTGCTTGCCCAGGGAGACCCCTTTTATGACACGTAACTGGCGTGCCATTAGATTTCCAACAACCTCTTCTCTTTTACCGACCATGAAAAATGGTTCGAATGGATCCCATTCTTTTCAGATTTTCCTTCGAGCCTGGGAAATCCAGGATTTTGTTCAATTTTTTTGAAAGAAGTATGGAGACCAATAATATTAATAAAAGAATTAATAGATAATTAGTCAAATTGTAAAATTCATCCTTGATTAGCATCGTGCTATATGGAAAAAGAATCGTGTAAATCGTCGATTTACGTTATATTAGCAATATATTTTTTTACGTCGGCCGATCTAAAGTCCAGGCAAATATATTTACCTGGGAGAGCGACGCGTGACTCGTCGTCGTTCGAAGCCTGCCACGATAAATTCCATTTCGACGTGGCGCGGGCGAACCAGCGGTGACAATAATGCATAGGTGCATAATCCGCGAGTTGTACGCGCGTCGCGTGAATGCACCGATCCACCGATACTCTTGTACTCTCGTGCGAACGAACCATTGCAACGTGAACATACACGCAATGTACCCGGTGTTCTTTTCGTGGTGAAACATTTTTCTGCGTAATCAACAGTGATTGTAATCGAAGTTAGGGAATAAAATTGAAATAGGTTGAAAAAAAACAGGAAAAATTAAAATCCAATTGATTATGTCAAAATTCGAATTTATCAGATCATTTATAGGAATTAAATAAATTTAATCTTCAATGTAATTTTCTAAAATAATATTGCAAATAAATTGGGATGCAATTTTTAATGCAATTCCTGATGCACTTTTTGATGCAATTTTTAATACAATTCCTGATGCACTTTTTGATGCAATTTTTAATGCAATTCCTGATGCACTTTTTGATGCAATTTTTAATGCAATTCCTGATGCACTTTTTGATGCAATTTTTGATGCACCTTTTTGAGAATGTATAGATCAATATTTGAGTACCAAAGTAGCAAATTTCAATTTACAAAAATGTTATTTTACATACAAATTGCAAGTGCAATGAATAAAAAAGAACTGAATTATAAATTAAGAATAGACTGACCAGCAACAGATTACTTCAATCTATGATTAAGGTGTTCTCTTATAGGAACATTCAAAGAATTCCTCTTTACAAACAATAACAATAAATTATCATTCCTCACATTCTACATGTCACTCTTATTACACACCTTTTTCCGTCCCAGAAAATCATTCGTTAAACACATCAGATTCACATCGTTCTAGAGAAAAACGTATCAGAGCAGAAAAAACTAACGACTTCCTTCAAAAGATACAATTACACGCGTTCCCATTCTCCGTCACAGAATCATCGAAATAATTTATTATTATTCGATGAGGTGAACGCTGAACTAATCGTTTCTTGCCGCCTTTCACAGAGGAAGTTGCCCAATTTACACTTGTTCCTTTTGATAAATCTGTAGTGTAATGCTGACACATGTGCCATTTTTTTTAATTAGGCATTATTCGTTTTGAAAGGGTGAAAATTAGTGTGAAAAATTATCTGATTTTTCCTTGTAACTTAAATGAAGTGAAAGATAGAGAAGATAAAAATACATAGATGTTAGGTATGTGCAAAAATTCATGACATAAAAGTGTTGCAAAATAATACTTGTGATATATCAAATTAAAGCTTGAAATTTAATAAAAATGGCTGTGTAGACGTCACATCGATATTTTAAATTAAAAATAACTGATTTACAAAGAAATAGGAAGATTTGATTCAATTTCATGACATAAAATTATTTCAAAATAGCACTTATGACACATGAATTTAAAGTTTAAAGTTCAATGAAAATAACTATATAAACGTTTCATCAATATTCTTAACACAAACCGACCACTTGATAACATACAAACGCATAGCATTACCGAAATATTCCTTTGGATCCGCCTGATCGACAATGAATGCATTTATAAATTAAAAAATGGTAATTATGAATTCCGAATGAATTATTGGCGGCAATAATTAAAAGGAGCATTGCCTATTATAATTAAAGATTAATTATTGGTAATAATTGTCATGAATATTCTCTGTACTCGATCGATTTATATTCGCTTCGATACGAACGATTCGGTTGATACATGTTTATTGCAACAACGACTTCTCCATATAAATAATCATCCACTTGTGAAAAATAATACATTAATTTATCTAAACATTTCAGATACACCTTTTTCAAATACCTTTAATATACATGAATCTTCTCGAATCGTTAAATTTTCCTGATGAATGAGATCGTTCAATGTTTAAACTATCCCTATATTCACCCACCAAATATCCACGAATTGAATTTATAATTTTACTTTGAAACAGCAACGTGCAG